TTCAACGCGCGTCTGCTGCAAGCCATTTGGAAGAAGAGCAGATCGCTGTAATTTCGTTGTGGTCACAATGGCAATATCGGAGCATTTTTTCACCTACAGCTTTATTAAAGTCATATGAAAAGGGGCTCTCAAGAGTTCTTGCAGTAACAACTGGCTTCCCGTTAGTCGATAATTGTGCATCACTGTGGACAGTTTGTAAGCAGAGCTCTGAAGGAGGAACATGCCAAGAGAAGAGCAAGACAGCCCCATGGGCTCTGTCTCATGATGATTACCAAGCGGCTGAGATTTGATGTATACTTTATGACAAACAATCACACAACCCTCTGATGAAAATCAGTGTACATGTTTGACTGCTGATACCTATCAGAGACTGCATTGACCTGGAATTCCGCTGCTGCTTCCCCCAGGCACTGCTAAAACCAGAGAACAACACACCAGACCAATACTCAAAATCAGATTAGAAAGCCAGGTTTTGCCTGCGGGTCTAGGAAAAAAAAAAAAAAAAAGCCAAAAGCCCCACACTGATTTTGTTTGTTTATTTGGAGGCCTGGGTTTCTTGCCTAGACAGTCCTAATCTTGACTTTTTTTCTTGGACAGAGTAATCCTCTCTTTCCATCTCCTGAAGCATAGTCTTCCTGCAGGACTTCACATCCATGGTGGTCACAGCCCCGAGTGACAACCTGGACTCTGTGGAGCAGACAGCCCAGCACCATGAGAGGGTGTTACGTTTTCAGCTTTTGGCTTGCTTGATGATTAACCCAGAACCTTTTTTGTCCTTTCAAAAAGAGATTCTGGTTTGTTCTCAGCAGGGTATGCCGACCCCTAACTGTCTATGAAGCAGACCTTAAGGTTTTTAGTCCATCCCCTAATCTGCTACCCGTAAACATCCTAATGGCCCACATCTACCTACTGATGTGGTGTGACACATTGCCTACAGCTGTGAATCCATTAGGATGGTCAAAACAGGTGACTGACACTGCACACTTATTCCTTACGTATTATCCACCTGCATTCTGGTCAGAGGGTTTGGAGCAGAAGTAGTTTATGACCCGGGAGCTTATAACACGATTCATCAATAAAACTCAGCTGTCGGTTTTCTTGACTTGCGGGCAGAAATGTCATCTGCAACGTGTTGGGCAACGCTCCCTGTGAAGCTGCAGAGTTTTTGCCACTCGGGACCGGTGTAAAGAAGGCTGAATCGAAAAACTCCCAAACTCCACTGTCCTTTCTGTAATTTGGTAAACATTTCCCCTGCTTATTCCATAGAAGCACAAAACTGTGTATATACATGAAATAAAAACAACCCCGCCAAAATAAAACACAATTTCATAAACGGTTCTTGGAGAGAGAAAATGAAACAGATCTCACCAGTACATCTTAGCCACGCCACTCATTGCAGGACCAGGATAGTTAGGTAATGTTGAAAGCGGCACAGAAACCTCAGCAGAAAAGAGCAGCAGTCGGGTAGTTTGTTATTGCCTGACCTTAGCCACACATCTGCCAAATCCCACAGGACCTTATCCTATTTTATTTACATTCTGTGGGATTACAGGAGGTCTCCTAAGCCAGCATAGGCACCCAGGCTTGAGGCAGTGGGAGCAGAGATTTAATGCAAACAAGATCCTGACGCCTTCTGCTCATCGATCACTAGAAGGGAGCCACAATCACCGCTGCCACAAGGTGTTTTGTGCTCTTCAGCCACAGAGCTGTCTTCTCACGATGGCCTTTACGTTTCACCCTCCGACAGTTCAGTCTCTTCCATGACACCAGTGTTTTCCCCGTGATGCAACAAATCGCAAACAAGCAGCTGGCTCGGGGCAACCTTTCCAGGAGTTGCAGCCTTGCCCTCGCCCTCCTTTTCCAACTGCTTGACCTACCTCGATGCTTTCCCCATCATTTTCCAGCAGAGCTTGGCACAGAAAGCTCCCCTCCACCGCAGGTTAAACGTGCGCCTGTCTACCCACCTTTTTGGGTTTCCTTCCGGTAAATTTTGCCCTTGGGGCCAGAGATCAGTGTCCGCGTGGGAACTACAATAGGTACCTGGCAAGCACCAGGGCTGTACGGAGACACAGCAAAGCCAAGGCTTTCTGCCTGTCCTTCTGCTGCTTCTGTGTCTGAACTAACCCTAATGCAGGGAAGAGCACACCTCTCTCCTTTTCCCTGGGGACCCGCCATTAACACTCCTCTGCGTTAATGAACCACGTGCTCGGCGATGCTCAGAAAGGCTCCAACTCCCTAGCGTTGCCCTCCCAGCATCCCTCATCTGAACCTGGAGGGAAAGTGAAAGCACATCTTGCCCACATGCAAGCACCCTCCAGGAGAAGCAGGGGGGCTCATCCTGAGCTACAGAAAGCTGGCAGGGGCATTAGGCTAACGCTGGCCAGCTGTGGCACTTGCAGCTCCATCCCTGTCCACATCAGCCCTGCTCCCAGCACCGCGAGGCGCCTGGCCACCCCCTCGCTGAAGCCTGGCCCATCTGGCAAAGGAACAACAAAAGTCTCCCCAGTCTTAATTTGCAGTGAACTTGCTTTGCATGGGAGGTACCGGGAGGTTAACCCACCAGAGGCAGCCATGCGGGGGAGCGGGGAATGTGTTGGCACGTCTTTTATTTCCTGCCCCCACAGGACACGCAAAGCGAGGAGCGACATGACGGACATGGTGCCTCGTGAGCTCAGCGGAGAGATATAGAGGGACTGCTGTTCCCGGGGGTGATTTCTGCCCTCGCCTTCTGCTCAGGAGACCTGTGCTGCGACCCTGCTGCTGCTCGGGGAATAGAGGTAATTTCCTTCCCCAGAGGTGGATACGCGGGCAGCCCTGCGCCTTCCTCCTGGGCACCCGCAGCAGCATCACATATCGTTCTGTGGCAGCAGCATTTTGCAGTGGCTTGGTAGATACCTTAATGAGGGCAGGATGGTCTAAATACATCTATTTTGCGGGATGAATAAACACCTTCTGCCCTCGTTAGGCTTTCCTCTCGAGATCCATGTGTTGTTTCAATATTGCCATGTAGCCAGAAATGTTTTAAAAACAACCTCCCCACATAGATGTTGGCTATGCGTAGGCCCCGTTAGCGAGGGATTTCTTGCAAGACTTCAAAACTGAGGGGTGACGCTGCGGGCAGGGCTGGGAGGAGGGGTCGCTGGGGCGGACCCCTCCGACGCAGGCACTGACGGCATCTGCTGGCAGCAGGTGGGTGGCACCTGGGGCACGGCCGGATGACAAATTCTATTAAAGCTCCCCAAAGAGCCAGGCCAGGCACCCGGTCTCTGGCTTCTCCCTGTCCCGGCGAAGCTGCTCCATGTAGCGTGGAAATGCCTCTTGCCCAGGGTTTCTGGTTTTGGGGTGGCATGCGTTCGCGTGCTTGCAGCAGGATGGGCTTCCCTCTGCCCTCGGGGTGTGCTTTCCTCCCCCTTTCAAGTCAATACGGCCCAAGCGTGCTGGTGTCTGCTTGAAGGCACGTTTTTTTATTATTTTATAAAAAAAATAATTTATGCAGCCTGTCTTGAGCGACCAGGGCCCATCACTCTGGCAGAAGCAGGTTAAGGCCAGCTGCAAAAGACAAGGACGACAACATTTCCCCACTTTTATGCCTTAGTATGAAGCACAGTTTGGAAACAGAAGGGAAAAGGAAGCTTTTTATCCTCCCCATCAGCAACGAGGTTTCCTTTTGACAGCGCCCTTGCAAAGCCCGAGCAGGATGGGCGGGCGGTGCCTGGGACGTACTTTGTGACAAGTGTTTATGGCTCACGTCCCTGGCTGTCTCTTTGTGGGAAGCCATGGCCGTGCTGCAGCTTGGCCGCTGATAGCTCACTCCCCAACCCTGCAACCTAAAAGCAGCAACCTTAAAATCACCCCAGCCCGAAGTGCCTGAGGGCTCCCCTGCGCTCCTCTCCTTCCTACCACCAAAAGCTGCGCCTTTTGGGTCCCCAGGCCTTGGCTAGGCCCTGGGTTAGGGTGCTCGCTCACCCCAGGTGTGGCCGTCACACATACACGTGGCCACTGTTGCCAGTTCCCCTCCCCGGCGAAACATCTCCCTGACCTGAGAAGACAGAGATTGAATGAGGTTTGGGTCTGCTCACAGGTCCTTTTCCTCCTCTCCCCGCTGGGTGCCTGCCTTCCCCAGCTCCTCGCTCGTCCTGACCTCTAGTTTGGTGGTTAAATCATTCAGGGATCTTCTGAGAGTCCCCAGGATGCCCAAACCCAGAGGCTCGCCCAGCCCGTACCGGGATGCGAGCATCACATTAGGCTGTAGGCTCCTCCAGGCTTCGTGCCCTGGTGTGCACCACCCAGCACGGGCATCCGTCCTGGAAGAGGGTGGCCAGCAGGCTCCTGTCCCCCAGCAGACAGGGACAGCCCTGGCCACAAGACCATCCCTCTGTCCCCAAAGGCAAACCCCGGGGGGGCAGTCAGGGTGCACCCCCAGACAGCTGGAGATGGACATGAGTGCCAAAGGCTTGCTAATTTTCAAATGCTCAACATTCACCTTGATGTCCTCCCTCACCCCTCCCACTAACTCCCTTTTCTGAAGGAATGAAATAACAAAACGTAGTAAAAACATATGATGGCAGCTTGTCTGTTTATGGTATCTGTTTTATTTCTCTTATTAAATAGCACATAAAAAAATAATTTATGCAGGAAAATATACATAATATACTCTGTAATAAATAGCAGGTAAAAAAATAGATTTCCTTAAAAACAGTCAGTGTTTTGAAAACCAGCAAAACAAAAATATCCAATAAATACAGTCATCCCCATTGAACAGCATCTTTCAGGAAAGGCATTTCTTTACCTCCTCCCAAGTCATATATAAATACACAATAAACCCCAATAATTTAAAAGACTGTGAAAGAAAAATTGCTCCTTGAGCTCACATAAATAAGAAAAACGCTTAAATAGGAAATACAGTCCAGTGATGCAATAAAAATCATTTTTCCCGGTCCTCGGGGCATCCTTCGGGGCCGGTGAGCACGGTGCTGTGCCAGCCGCGCTGCCGGCAGGGGCTAAGAGCATTGCTCCTGGAGGGCCGCGCACTTCAGGTCATCCAGCACTTGGAAGACGTGGATGATGGCAGAGGCCTCCAGGCAGCTGGTGGTCTCCTGCGGTGGGGAGAAGGGATGGGTTAGCGCCAGAGATGGTGCAGCGGCCCCATGCAGCCGTGCGGTCACTAACACCCCGAAACCCCCTCGCCCTGCTGGCCCGACTTACTGTTTCCTTGGCCATCTGCAGCTTCTGCAGCCAGCGCCTCAGTTTCCCGGAGGGCTGATCCGTGGCCATCTGCAGGGAAAGCAGCTGCATAAGGACCGGCGCTGCCTCGCGGCGCTGCCACCAGCACCGGGGCCGCTGAGCCAGCACTGGGCCGGCAGGTTTTTGGGGGGCACTCACGCAGCCTCGCAGGTCCTCCCGGGCTTGGGTGAAGAAGGTGAGGGACCGCTGGCGCACCTCGGCGAACCCGGGGGCGGCGGGGAGCCCCAGCATTTTGGTGATGAAGTCCAGCTCGGCTTCCACCAGCTTCAGTCGGTCGGGCACCTGCGGGCGGGAGCATCCTGGTTAGGGACCCAAAGCGCCAGGGCTGGCCGGGGGTCTGGAAGACCGGCCCGGGGGTGTGGGTGGAGGTGGGACCCACTAATGGGAGGTCCTGGCTGGTAGGGGGTTGTACCCCCTTTTTACAGCATCGCCTCGCCCTTACCGACAGGTCTGCCGCCTTCCATCTCCGATGGAAGAGCCTGATGTTGCATTTGTGGTCCGAATGCGGCATGCTGTCATCCTGCAAGCATAAACCAAGAGAGAGACTGAAAAACCGTCATCTTGACTTTTGGTGATGTTGTGCAACCCCAATCAGCCTTGAGGAGTTTGAAACCAGGATGAAATTTGGCCCAGCATCCTCCTTGTCCCCAAATGCCCTTGGAAAACATCCTCCTTGTCCCCAAACTGCTGCAGAAAACATCCACCTTGTCACTGGGGGTCTCGAATTCAGCATCCCCTCTGCCTTGCCCCCTGCCAGCCCACAGCCCCCCACTGCCAGCGGTACTCACAAATTGAGACTTCATCTTCTGCACAGGCTTCAGCTCGTGGGGCACGAGGGACTCGTACTTGGACAGACCGCAGCCCTTCTTCAGGGCGTGCTGGGGCACAGCAGCCACGAGGCTGGCCCCCAGCGCTAGCACAAGCAGCGGGGTGAAGCCAAGGCACAGCATTTTGTCGACGAGAACCTGGCGGTGAGTGGGCTACGATGGGGCCAGGGGGCTGCGATGCAAGAAGCTGGAGAGGACAAACCGGAGTGCTCCAGGCCAGATCCGCTAAATCCCTGATGTAGTGTTGCCTGGCGGTGTTGCGGCGGGTGGCTCCTCGGCTGCAGGGCTGCTGGGCTGGCGGATGGTCCCGACGAGCTGCTTTTCTTGCTTCGCCTGCTTCGTCGTGGCTGCCCCATCTCCCCAGCTTTTATGCTGCCTGCCCGGCATGATTACGCTTTCAGATTGGCAGGAAAATCCGCGGCCTGGAAAGAGGAAAGCGAAAGCGGCGGCAGAGGGAATCCCGCTGCCGCAGGTGCGGCAGGTGT